GTTTTTTTCTGAAGCCAGCTGATATTTACCTGGGTCCATCTTGTGCAACCGAAACCTTCAAATCGTTCGTCGAAAAATGGGACAGGTCCTTTCGTGACGTATATCGGCTCGTATTGCAGCTCAAACTTGAGAACATCGTAGGCAACTTTGAGCTCATTCGACGTCGATGGAACAGCTTGCCAAGCAGTCAAATTTGACGAGCCAGAATTCTTCTTACTGATGATCTGGAATCCGGAATAAAAAATTCCAATACAAGCTGAATGAACAGCAAACGATCTAATTCAGGGCGGTGCTTGTGAAGAGTTCAACGCCAACGAAACCCACGTCCCTCAAATTGGATCCACAAAATCAGCACCCCATGAGAATTGAGTGAGTGCTACATGATACCGACTTAATTTCTGTGCTTATTTTATTTGCAAACGCATTGCAATTTGTTTAAACATACAAAGCCTAAACCAATGTAGTTCGCTGGTTTCCCCGAAAATGCCCCGGACAAGGTGAAGGATGGACGAAGAGCATATTATTATAGTTTTGGTGCAGATGAAAAAATATTTTCCTATTTCATAATCGGTTTCATTCTCTATACAGTTTAATTTTTAGCATGATTTCTATGCAAAAAAAATTATTATTTCAATAGAAGTTTTTTATTGCGAAATTTTTATCTATACACACATTTATTCACCGTCCCAGAATCTGCTCACTGATGCATCGGTAATTTTATGTTTCCTGACAAATTTTCAAGCATCCAATTTTTCAATTCACTGAGCATAAAAATCGTACAGGTGCCAGATCTTATAATAATAAGTAAGATGCATAAAAATCTTTTGGTCAATATCTTTCGGATATTTATAGTCCCTGCGGCACAGTGATTTGCTTTTACAAAAGTGGCAGAATGATTTCATTGAGGAGCAGGTACAGTATTATAAAATAAATGCAATCTTCCGGAAAATTTCTGAATCCTTCTACATGTACGGTATATGGGTAGCCAATTTTGATTCGGCAACATAATGCTTTTCTCATATTCCTAAGGAAGGTATCAGCCTCACACAACATTTGCACAGTGGATTCGGTTCATCCGTCGGAATCCATTTGCAGAATTTTGCAGTATTTTCCGAATGAGTGAATGAAACTAAAGCGTAATTGTATTGTGGAGATTCAAGGTTTCCTTGATTTCGATTCATAAATATAGATTTTTCAAGGAGTCGTCGACAAAAACGAACCTGGTGGAATGGACGAGCACGTTTTGCAGTGATCATCTTCACGAGGTCAGCCTTGTTTTCCGGAAGCTTCCCAGCGGTTTCGGCGATTTCATACACCGGCAAAACATAAGCGCATTTTTCGCAGCTCTGTGTCTCCTTTTTCCTCAAAAAGGAACGCAAATCTTCCGCCAAACCCGGTCTCGGGATCATATCAACGTCTACGAGCGTGACGTATTCTGCTAAGCAACCTTGTCGGGCTACGTTTCGTAGTAATTGCTGAGGGTAGATCATCGAGTCTCTCCACTTCATCATTTCTTCTGACCTTCCAGCATCAACAAACTTCGTTATCGACTCGTGGACGGAATTGCAGTCCAAGTCGACGTCATCCGCTTCCGCCGAAAAGTCCACCGGTGGATGAGCCACATCCGACACAAAATGAAAGCTAACACGATCTGCGACGGCAGGCGAACAACGACGCAGAAATTTTATCACGGTTTTTGCTAGGTGTAGCTCCACGTCCGGGACGAAAATGCTGACGGATAAAGGTCCATGCCAGCTTTCCGAAACGTTTGCGACCCAGTACATCCGGTCAACCTAAAAAAAACACTTGCTTGAATTGTCATGATACTTTCTCATAAGAAGAAATTGTTTTCAAGGCAATATTTTGAATACAAATCATCTACAGTAGAATATAATGTATTCAAACATATATTATCTTTCAAGTTGAACTTTTCTAAATGTAAATAGACACGCTGTTATTACTTGAGAGATCAAACTGATTGGGAGCAGTGATGTAACAAAATATAACTCATATAACTGATGGTCCCGGTAAAGTAAATATCTTCTCACATTCGACTTCGAATATTTTTTAGATACTTCTAAAAGTCTACGTGCATTTTTAATTTAAAAAAAAACTTGGTCATGCTCTATTCTAATTTGTGTTCTTAAGATTACCATGCTAAGCGAGGAAGTATAAGGAGAGAATCTGTTCACTATCTTTCAAGAATTTGCGACCGTTACTGTAGAGTTATAGGAATATTCCGATACATCTGCTGGAAAAAAAAAAAATCTTGAATATTCATGAGACAGTCCCTTGAAATTATGATGAAAGAAAAGTAATTCAAAAATGTTTACTACGCGATAAAGTTATAATTTATTTATCATGACTACTCCAGTCCAAGCCGATTAAAAAAGTTGTTCAAAAATCCCTTAAGCTTCAACTCGTTAAAAAAAGGTTCCTAAGTTCTTCATCCATTCTCCGCCTTATGCGGATTCCAATTCATGTAATATTTTAGATTTGCCAGTAATTAATGATATTTACCTAGATAAATACATCGATTATAATCCTGCGAGCATCACTCTGTCCTTCTGTTCCGCGATGCATTGCTTGCTGGATTGAACTTTCCTAAGCCCAATTCTACTCGTAAAATACTGTAGATATTCCTATGTACAGTAATGTAAATAGATGATAGAGTGGAAGCTGATGCTAAGAAAGATTGAGACTGATGAACGCTTTTTCCCACGAGGGAGGTTCAGATTTAAATCAAATCAAAACTTCTCGAATTCTTTTTTTTTAATGAAAATACCGCGGTGTAAATTTCGGGGTACCTTCCAGAGACAGAGTCGACTTCTTATAAAAAAAAATATTTTTTAATGGCCATCGTAGTTCTTAAAATATGCTGAATAAAAATAAAATACAAAGATTCCATTTTCTTGGCAAAGTTTGGAGATGAAACAAATAATGATAATTGATTATCGAGGTCATCACAATGCTGCTAAAGTCATGAAAACAAGTAATATTAGTCTCTTTATGAGCTTAAGCCCATCTAATTATTACTTTAAAAGGGGATATTGTTGGTTTAGAGTTCATAATCTTTCAATAAAAAACGGTCTGTTTTTTACATGGGAAACTACTCAATATCACTGCAACTTTGTTTTATTCAGAATTGAATCAGCGTCGGCTTGAATCGCGACTGTAATTTAATGGAAGAAGATGCCGTAAATACCGAGAAACAGGATACTTTCCATGGTCTTGACCTTTAAATGCAATGAAACATTGAGTCACTCACGCTCAAGTAAAAACTGAGACGAGAGCTTTGAGTACTGGTCGGCTCAAATAAGCTTCAATTTTCTTCAAGGACTTGCTAGCGAATCAAAGAAACCACAAGTCATCATCCCAACCATCAGTAAGAATGCCCATTTCCTCTTCTTTCCCCGGAATTCTCTGGACGAAGCGCTACTTCATCAAGAACATTCTTGACTTTCAAATACTGAACGATAGCCTTCACCGGAAGACATCGAAAATTTGTTTTTTATAAAACACACTGGATTTTTTTCTTTTTCAGCCTCAGAAGTGTCTCTAGATTTGATCTTCTGACTTCAGACGATGGTACAGACGTTGAACCTCTTCAATTCGAATTTCAAGAGACCATCAAAAAATCGACATAGGGAAGTTTTGACTGAGGAAGGGTTTGAGTTATGGATGTTTCATCAAGTTAGGTTTTTGTTTTGCAAAACACAGAAGTACTGCAGACAACTTTATATGGTAATATTCTGAGCCTTAAATGACTTTCTAAATGAATCTGTATATTAAATTTTCATTCTCATACAAAAATGTCTTCAAGCCCAGCTTTCTAATTTTTTAAAGACATTCCGCTATAGCTGCTTCATTGGTTCTCAGCATATTTATTGCAAAAAATAATTTTTTTAAATACTCTCATACTGACTTTCAAGCACAACTTTTTTCAGTCTGCAAAAATTTTATAAAACTTTGCAGGTCCGCAGAATTTTTTTTGGGAAGTTGCCAGTTTTTTTTTATTTTGAACAGATTTGCCATTCCGCGGGTTCAAAAAGGTTAGGGGGACACTGCTTTCTAGACTATTCAGAGTGTCACTATCGTAAGAAAATTTTGCTACGACATGTTGACTCACGGATGTTTGAGTAGCCATACAGACAGGATAGTCGTGGATCAGTTTGTCCCAACTGTCACCAGACAGTACAAACGGATGAGTGGCGTACTTCCTCGTCACGTCCGCCAATCCCCG